ATTTTTGTAATGAAAAAATTAAAAAGTTAATTCCGGTCGGAATTTAGTAAACAATTTTGTAATGCGGACCAAAATTTTGAAGATCTTCGGCCGTTAGCCAATCAAAATCGAGGATCTGCCGGTCCAAATTTGTTGCGGCTAATGGTCCCGAGTCATATGCTTGGATCACGTTTTTCACTGCGGCCGGATCATGTTACCCTTCATATTCTTCCGCACTTGGTTTATGCGTACCACGCATAAAATCACAAAAAAAAAAGCCTATAGCAGGCTACGTTGGGAAACAACTTTGAGTATGATAGTGGTGGTGGAAAGGAGTGATTTGGGTCAGGATCACAATTAGACCATCTTGTCTTCATTTCATTGTCGGGGCAGCCTAGTTGTTGATTTTTTTTCTTCATCCGTAGCTTTCGTTCATCTTTCGGCATTTTCTTTTTTTATTTTCTTTTTCTTCTTATTCCTCGCCAGACCAGGCTCCATCGTTACGACTTACAGGCAGGTTCGCCATTTCTACAAAAACAAATTAAAAAGGCACTTCTTTTTTTTTTTTGCTTCGGATTCACAGCTTTAGACGTCGGAGTTTTGGTAGTTTATCTCACAAACTAGGTGACTAGAGAAGTTCTTTCTCACAGTCTAGGCGACTAGGGAAGTTCATCTCACAGTCACCACCAATTGTGAAAGTGGCGGCTACAGTGTTTCGGGAGAAACCCGATTTTGCAGATCATTTGCAGATCAAATTGGGCGAAACTAAAATTCATCTGGGCGAGACGTTTCGGACTTTGAGGGAGGTTTAGGCTGAAACACTGGGCAACTAACAAATTTGGGGCCAAATCTAGCTAACTACCTAACTAATTCACTAAAACTATTCAATTATCGGTTCTAGGCACCTGAAACCTTGAAGTGACAGGCTAGAAAAAGGCGTGGAAAGACTTGATCCGAGTTCAGAGTTCTTTCGGGTCTTGTTGCGGCACGAATATAAGTATACCTTTGGATTTGTTTGTGTGGCTTATGTATAATGACCCAGTTAGGGACTAAAGAAATTTCTATTTCCAAGTTCTAGTATTTTAAGGGTTCGATATTCGACTTCGATTGTGAACTTAGTTCACGATTTCACATGAGTCACGTGGGTAAAACCAAAATCACGTTATCGGTATTGCAAGTAAATTTAAGCTAACAATGACGTTGATCAAGTTTTAATCAATGGTTACGCTTTATATAAAAAGGGGTTTTGATGGTAACTTTCTCTTACTCTTTTACTTCTTATGAACAGCAGAAAATACGATATAGTCTCAGGGACAAGAAAGCTTTAACGACGATTTTATTTATTAGGGAAATGTTAGAGCTAACATTTCTACTCGAATTTCGAAGGCTAATGCTCCACTGAGTTCTTTATTGCGAGAGAAAAGCTCTCTTTTATATAATTATTTTTTACATGTAACGGAATTCTTTGAATCTAATTAATTTTGCCATCTAAATTATTTCTTAGATAAACTTTATTTTCGTCATCCTTTAGATGCCTATAATCTAGTAATACCAAAAATTCTCAATAATTCGTAGAACTTACATCCATAAATTAGGTAATAACAAGAAAAGGCAATATAAAAATAAATTTTAGGGTCGATCTTGCCCTTCACAATGTGCATTAAATGCTAATCTTCATAATTTTAACAATATCGAATCACAAACAAGAAAGTATGTACATTTATTATCTCACGAAAAATTTTTTTTTTAAAAATTACTAACCAATAGTATAATGTTTAAACGTTGAAAACTTCGTTCATTGACCAAATATTGAATCCAATCATTAGTCAAAAAACCTAAATATCAACGGAAACACATTTTTATTTTCGAATTAGTTAATCAATTGTTAAAGGATTTAAACATACATTGGTTAATGTTGCCATTCCGCTTGCTAAATACTTAGACATTTGGCATTGCTATAGAGGTGTCTCTAAGCTGTAAGTATTCGGCGGATATTTCAGCATTGCAGATTTTTTATTTTTTTAAATAAAATACTCCGAAATAACTATTCTATATAATGTATTTTTGGTGAAGAGTGCAATAAATTGAGCAATAATTTCGGTAAAATGAAATTAATTTCGGCAGCTATTAAAGACTACTTCGGTCAACTAAATTCTGTAATAATTTTTTTATTACGATGAGCAATTTAGGCGCATATGTATAAGCTTGGCTAAGTAAGCATTTAATTATCGGGATTCCCATTCAATGGACAGAATACTCACAAATACTAATAATGATATTCAGCATTTTCGGCAATCAATTAACTAACCCGAAAATAAATGATCCTAATATGACTATATGTTGATTTTTTTTCATTTAGCCAGTGTATACTGTATAGCATCACAAGAACAGTATATTTAGATGAAAAGTGGATCGTATGACCATGCTTACAAATGATTATCTATTATGTAATCTCGTAATAAAAGTGCTAAAGAGGAAAGATCTCATGACCCAATAACATGATTAATATTGATGTGAAAAATATAACCATAGTATAAAAAATATGCGTGATTGCTTTCGTTCTTGTAATATATTATACTTTATATTACATGACAACTACAGTTATGTAGTACGATTTTTACTAGCTTTGGTCTTATGATTAATGTTCATAAAACTCTTTAATGCGTTTTCTCGTTTGGTTGATGATTATTTATTTACACACAAATTTAACGCCATTTGAGAATTGATAAGGAACTTATTTGACTATAGGCGGTAAATTAGATATATAAAAGCTATTGTGGACACAAATAACTATTATACTGTAGCTTTGTTGGACAAGGAAGGGTGTTCGTGTTTCATGACTAAAGATGGGCAGTCGCGTATAAATGCTCATCAAAGATTTCTACAGAATTTGATTTTTGTTACTCTGTTACAAATAAGCTGTGCAAAAAAAAAAAAAACAATAATAATAAAGATGGTTTAGTATATTAGTCATTTAAATAAATTTATATTCAAATTTATTTCTCAGTACCGTATATTTCAAATTATTGTGAAATCCTATATGACTTTTACTTCATTTCTTTCCTAAACATGAGCTTTAAAAGCTACGTTAAGCTAAGGATCAACTTTGGTAGGTTGATTCGCGATCATATGTTTTCATGCGAATTTATGCGGCTCATGCATAATTATGTACTTTCCAATCTTTGATAAATAATCTTATGACTATTAGGGACCCATTGAAAAGCAATATATGTTACTGATCAAAGCATTGAATTTGATTTTACTAGAATTCAATCTTGCTGTACACGTTACATTTATCATAACAGATATCATTATTACTTGAATTTGAGTGCAACATATTATTGTATTGTCAAAGTCCAATTTTATAGATCTTGGCGTTTGATTTTGCAGAATTATACTTTGTTTACTTATTATCAAAGTTTGTACTTTGTGCGTTTTGCATTGAAATATACTAACGGCATGAGCAGATTGATCATATAGTGGTATATGCTGACTAAGCTGAGCAGGCCGAGAGTCTACTCACAGCTTTGTGTCAAAACAGATCTCAGGTAGAGAATTGACTAATCATTTCACTTCTCAACATATATATTTATTATAAACAATCAGTACCAAAATTATCGAGGCCGAGTGTGTAACTGATTATAATAAGCAATAAGTAGAGAAGGAGATTATCAATTGTTGTAGTTTACAAAAACTTGAAGATCAAATATTGTCGATCGAAAACATAGTCAATAGATGATTTAAATATCAGAGATTTTCTGCTATATTTCTTGAAATAAGAAACTCAGCTTTTTGAAAGCCTCAATAATTTAAATGTGTATGGTTAGCGGGATTTTACGGAATAAATTGAAACAAAAACAAAAACAAAAAATAAATAGAACATTTAATATTGTAGGAAATAGTTGGTTTAAACAAGTAGCCTAAAATTGTTGCAAATTGGGTTGTGATCGGTATCACTAACCAAAAATTCAAGAAGAATTATTGCGCAATTACAATTTTATCGATTAAAATAAAATAGAAAATAGTGTATATCATTATTAGCATTAGGGATTGATCAGCCCGGACCGTCTTCATGAATAGTTAAAATAGCCAATTAAAATTATTAGTTATTATTTTCAATTATCGACGTCATATGATTTGACACCTTCCGTTAGCCAATGAAATTATTAGAGGCTTAAATAATTAAAACCCATTTTTGGAATGAAAAACATTAATGAACTGGTCTTATTAGGGGCCGGGACGGACTGATCCATTCCTAATTAGCATTCTCTCAAAGCCAAGACAGAATCATTGTGTCGATAAACTATTCTAGATTTAGATTCGATCAATGTCTCTTTAGAAAAACTCTATAATTTGTAGATCAGGCTTATGTAATATTAGGAAATTTGCGAAAAAATTTTAGCATAAGAGAATATATTTAATATAATTTTCAGAATCGATCCTGATGCTTTCAACTACTGAACTATCAACATTGAATGAAAATCGATTTTGAACCAAAATAATGTATGCTTACCCACTATAGATAAATGACAAATCTGACTAAGTCTGACGAATTACTGGGTTTTTCAATCTAATCACTACTAAAATAGTTTCATCACCCATCTTATTACCCAACAAAACACATATCCTATCATAAATGCCGGTTTAATTAAACCAATTTCTGGCTTGATGTTTCATCAGTCAGTAAATTTATGCCATTAAATAATTTCATTAGCCATCATGCCGTACTTTCGTGTAATAACGCTCATGAGCGTTATTTAAAATAATGGCCGGATTTAGCTTAATTTGGGCTAAATTTTGAAATTATACCCCGCTCATTATTTCGTGAAAATACGGTATTGAAAAAAATTGCCGTCAAAAAGCAGGTTACATCACTCTGAATTTTGTGTTAGCTACATGAAGCAGCAATAAATAATATGCTTAATGGATATTGTGAAGCAGTAAAATTGGCTTTCAACGTAGTTATGAAAATTGTATCTATCAATAAAATCAATTTATTAATATTAATTACTGTGATCAGCAAATGATGCCAATAAATCCGTATCTAAATAATGCCAGTTCATTTTAAATATTAAAATTGATTAGGTCATTTTCAATCATAGTGTAACAAATATTCGTATTTGGAATTTATACATAATATACACATTAAAATTGGCTAGTATAAATTTTAGCCAATCACAGGCGATCATTAAAAGAATCTGCGATGCGTAGGAATTGCATTTTATTTTTTGAATAATTATGTTTACGAATTTATCAAGCTGAAACGAAATCGAATTTTTTTTATACCTAAATTTGCAACCACCTTTTGACACCCAAATTCGTACAAAAAATATTGTAATTTAAGTTGGTTGAAATAACGATATCTCGTGATCTAGTACCCCAATTTGCATGATTTTGGTACTATTCGAATCCTCTCGATCAAACGATTCAAATGGTACAATGTCCT